AGACATTTCCAAGGCCTGACCTCCTTCCAGTATGGAGTCTAGGTCTGCCTCTAGGTCATTTGTCTCAGACATTTTATCTTGTTTCTGGACATGTGCTGATATGGTCATCTGTTTTTGCTTCTTGGACATGATCAGTGGTTAGCTGTGGTCTTAATACTTAGTTGAGTGTGTGTTTTGGTATTTTTTATGCTTTCTGATAGCCTACAGTTAGATGTGATCAGGAAGTGGGCTTCCTTTTTCAGTCTTCTTTTTACTTAACTCAGAGTAACTTCTGCAGGTGTTGTCTGCCTTCTAGAAGCCTTGTTGAACAATGTTGTCTGTACCAAAATGATTAAAGGAGAGTTAAAGGAGGGAGTTTACATCTCAATGTCCATAACAGCAAAGAATTTAAAAACCAGATTTGACACATTTTAGAAAAGTTTGTTTTCAGTCTTGCTTGGTCCCATCTTCTGCCATCCTTCTCTTCCATGGAAACAACAACAACAACAAAAAATGGGGTGCTCCAGCTTATGTCTCTGAACCTACTTGTCTAACCTTCTCTGCATCTCTTAGGTTCAGTCCCACAAAACCCTAACCTACTACTGTCAAGAGTCAATTCTAACTCATAGCAACCCTGTATAGGAGTTTGTTGTTATTGTTGTTGTTAAGTGCCATCAAGTTGTTATTGACCCATAGCGATCTTATGCACACCAGAATGAAATACTGCCCAATACTGGGCCAACCTTACTACTGTTGCCACACTTGAATCTATTGATGCTGCCACTTGACCAATCCATCTCATTGGGGGTTTTCCTCTTTTTCCAACACTCCACATTACCAAACATGATATCCTTCTCCAGTGACTGGTCCCTTCTTACAATATGTCCAAAGTATGAAAGAGGAAATTTGGCCATCTTGGCCTCCAAGAAGCACTCTGTCTGCACTTCTTCCAAAACGGATCTATTGGTTCTTTTGGCAGCCCACGGCACTTTCAATATTCTCCTCCAATACCATAATTCAAAAGCATAAATTCTTCTATGGTCTTCCTATTCACTGTCCAGCTTTCGCATGCATATGACATTATTGAAAATACCATGGCTTGGGTCAGGTGCACCTTAGTCTTGAAGCTTACAGCTTTGCTCTTCAACACTTTAAAAAGGTCTTGTGCAGCAGATTTGCCTAATGCAACACATCCTTTGATTTCTTGACTGCTGATTCCGTGAGTGTTGATAGTTTGATCCAAGAAGAATGAAGTCCTTGACAACTTTAA